ATTCGAATGTTTTTTACTTTTCACAAGCATACTGGCACTAGTGGGATTCAAGGATACTCGCACGCAACGCCACTGGCCAAGAAACTCCTTTGTTGCGGTGTAATATCAAGGACAAAAACGATCACTTTCATTCAATCTCTCCTTTGCAAAATTTGATGACGTAACGTGGGGATTGCAGTACACCCCGATGACGATATTTGAATGCGGTTCATAGATTGGACCCGAGCATTGCGTGGTCACTCGATTTGGGCTCGTGATAGTTACTAGCTCGAGAAGCATTCGAGTAGTGGCCCGTGTCCAATCGCTGCAACGACGACAATAGCCGAGCAGTAACAATATCTAGAACTCAGCGCGTGTCCTGATGCTTTGCTAACCCCAGCGCGTGGCTATATAATCAGCATAGGCGGCATATAATCGGCTCCAGATCACGTGGCCGCTTGTTCTGGCTGCGAGTTGAGAGGGTCAACGCTACTCGTTTTTCTTTAATTTTTTTCTGGGACTTCTATTGCGTGGGGTGAAAAACGAACGCGCGTTTCATAGGTCATTAATGTCAGAGATCCGTTCTAAGTGCTATTTGCGCAAAGTACAAAAATTGTTGCATCGCCCCTTTAATGATTTGGGCGCTCGCCAGTGTGTGTGTGTGTGTGTGGGGGGGGGGGGGGGGGGGGGGGGGGAGCGGCGAGGGGGTTCTAGATTTTGTTAAGCTTGAGCAAGGGTTGTCGCTCAAAGTTTGCGTCGCTCATTTTATTATTCACGTGTGGATGAGCTCGCATGTTATACAAAGGAGCAGCAGCTCCAGGATTTGAAACGGATCATGTGTAGTATCCATTAGCGGAAGAGGTCGCCCCTACCACTTCTCAACTTGAAACATTGCTTGTCACAAAGGCCACGCAGGGGAATATTTCAACTGCCTCTGTTATATTTGGCATCCGCTTTAGGCATTCTTCGGTTCTGGTTCTCCTTCGGGCTGCGAGTAGGTACCCTAAGCAGGATTTTTTTTAAATTTTTTTATTTTTGTGTGTGTGTGTGCGTGAGGGGCTAGTTTGAACGAAGGACTCACAAAGCTACATTCTTCTTCATCAAACTTCGCCCTGAACGGCCTTTGTCACGCACTGTGGCTTCCCTGGGGCTTCCCACTCCCAGCCCCAGCTCGAAAAAAAAAACAACAACAACAAAAAAACGGACATTCCACAGAAACTGTACATAGAAAGAGATTGACCTCGTTTCCTACAGCTCCGCAAAAATCTTTCTTTTTTCCGTTCGAAAGAAAAAGCAAATTTTATTTTTGTCATTTTATAAAAAAAAAGGCGTGTGCCGGGAAGGAAGTCCCGTGGACAAATTGTAACGGTTACAAGTAGTTTTATTACTTCAAAAAGTAATCAGATTACTCTTCTTATTACTGCCCAATAAAAGTAATCAACTGATTACAAAATTACTCCAAAAAGTAATCGATTACAAGTAATTTGATTACTTGTAATCCGTACGGTACAAGTCACCATTAGGGTGACCACCCGTCCCGCGACTCGCGGGACTGTCCCGCATCGAGGGCTCGTGTCCCGCGTCCCGCGAGAAATTCACAAATTTTCAAAATGTCCCGCATATCAGTCGTAAAATTCACTCCGAAACTCGTGTTAATGTGTGTATATTTATTTTACCTTGTTTGTGTAATTATTGTATGAAACTTAACCATGCAGTCCCCCCCCCCCCCCCCCCCCCCCCCCCCTCTTATGTACTTCTCTCACGAGGACCCTGAAGGGTATATGAATGAAGGGTGCTGCCGAGCAATGGGGCACGGGGGATCGCGGAGGTCGCTGGTAATCGTGTGAACCGCGATGGTACGCCATTTTCTATCCAAGCATTGCGGGAAGCGACCGTCGTTCTTGCAGGAGATCCTACGCGCATGCTCTGTTGTGCCTCTCCCCTTGGTGGCAAAATATTGTAAAAAAAAAAATTGCTCGCCAAAAGTTTAAATATAAAATATTGTAATTATTTTCAGATCGTTGTATCAATGCGAAAGGGTTGCTGTGAACTTTGTTTTTAATGAAGACAGCCACACAAGGCAAAAGGCCTGCATCTCACAACGGTCGAAAAAGAACACGATGTTAAAAATTTGTGTATGACCATGTTGAAAAAAGTAAGCGTTGCCAGGAAACAATAACCCGAAAAATATTTACTGTTTCTTATTTCCATTTGATGGATTGAGTTCTGCCACAGTCGATTTTTATGTTTTCAACTTCGACACATTTAATAACATGTTTGGCATAAAGCAATATATCACTGGGAGTGAAAATTTGCTGCAATACAATTAGCAAGTGTTTAAACAGCACAGGATATTCAATGTGTGAACAGGGCTTCGGTTCGTGGTGTGCGTGTTAATAAATTTCCTGCACACCCCTGCCCCATCTGTCCCGCATTTCGCTAGCAGGAAGGTGGTCACTTTATCTAATATACTGTACAGAAGCTAGGAGTACGACCTACGACTCCTATCTCACACCCATAATTATTTTACTGGAAAGGGCATTCGATTTATAACCAACTCATATTACACGCAATAATCATCGTATACTAACATTTCAAGATATTATAACACACAAAAGTGCTACGATGTTTTATAGAATTGTAACTACAAACTGCTCATTTCAAACCACAATACACTTCTTAAAGGCTCTCGTCAAACTAGAGCAAATTTAGCTGGGCTTTTTAATTTCCCACAATGCCAGAACATATACGGTGAAAGACTAATCCAATTCACTGGTACAAAAATCTGCAACTAATTGTGAGTTGAGCTTTGAAATTAGCATAACTTTAATAAAGCACTGAAGCACTATCTTCTCTTTTCTCCCTAAATCATCTTAATCTCATGGCCAGTGCTTTCGTTTAGTTAATTAATATAGCTCGAAATAAATTATTTATATATTTTGTTAAGTTAATTTTTTCAGTTTGTCTTTTAATTCACATGTTAAACGCTCTGCGTATATGAATCAATCTATCTTTTTCAATTATCTGTATGTGCTTTCTTAATAAAAAAAAACTGCAACCGGAAAACCTGAAAACTGAAACCAGGCCGTCGCACGTTCTTCGGTTGCGGTTTCCGCGTGCTATTCGGCCGCTGTTCGCGGATGTGTTCCAGTCTTAATTCTCGGTTTCACAATATACCCTCGGAAACGGTCAGCTACGGCCTTGATGAGCCAATAAGAGCGTTGGAGCGAACCGTGTGACACTGCTTGTCTTCCCGCGCTGTTTTGTCACGTGTCTGGTTTCGAAGCTTTTATTAGCTCATCGGATTGTATCCTTTTCGGTTTGCCAAGTTGTGCTGGAATGGAGTTTATACGTGGTCCATTTCATGTAAGTGTAGCTCGGCGTTTGGCCGTAAAATGAAAGGGTTTACAGATGCGGTGTTGCATGGGCGCCCCTCCGTTTCAGCAAAAAAAAAAAAAAAATAAAAACGTTGGGTGAGTGTTTTTCGGGAGGGTAACCCTCCGCGTATTCAGCGCAATTTGTCTCATTTGTTCGTGTAAATATTTTGATTTTGGTTTCTTTTGACGTATGGAACATTTTGCAGCGCATGTGTTCCCGGTGTCGGCCGTGGAAACCGAAGCCTCGGTCCGTTGTCGCCTGGAGGGCCACTTCTATCTTCTGGTAGGACCACGTGGCCTTTCGCTCGCTTCGCGAGGCCAGCAGGGCGCCATGGGAAAAGTGCTGTTCTGGTGGCCCTTCTGCAACATTCGTCGCTATGGCATGGTGCAAGGGGCCTTCTCCTTCGAGGCTGGGCGCAAATGCGCCTCCGGGGAAGGGCTCTTCACTTGGAGGTCCCCCGAAGCTGCCGACATCCATCGCGCCATGGTGGACTGGCTGAAAGTGTCTCTGGACAGCGCCGTTGCCCACTCGCAGGAGGCTGAACAACACTGCTACGAAAATTTGCGCCCGGGGTCCTCGGTGGAACACGTGCAGTGCAACGATGCCGAGTATGCTGTGATCCGCAAGTCCAGTGCTGCCCCTTGAGTGCCGTCAATCTTCAGGACGGACTTGAATGATGACTTTTAGACAGCTTCCTTTCAAGAATTCTATGCAGGGTTGTGGGAGGCGTGGGAGCGAGCGCCTAGTTTCAGAGAGCGCTTTCCTGGCCCAGTTGCTTGTGCAAACAAAACATTTTGCAAAGGTATAGGGAGTATTCCCTGGCGGCCATATTCGTGTGCGCCGCTGCTGAGCGCGTGCTGACGGCGAGCTTCCGCAGTCCTTTTGGAGCGTGCATTTAGCACCATCAAGGTTGCCGGTCTTAGCAGGCTATTAATGTGAGCTCGTTCTGAGCATGCGCTCTAAACATCGCCCTCAAATATGGCGTCCAGTGAATACTTCCTATACGTCATCGCACCTGTACTCTTGGCTGCGCTGTACACAACTGTGAGATGGGCAAGGTAAAACGATACCCGATGCAGACAAAAAATAAATAAATAAACCCTGCTATTATACTTACTTTTAGCTAAAATCCAAACGCATACGACGTTACGAGCTAATGGGACGAATCAAGCAGCTTTAAAAGCGCAAGTCACTAGGCCTTTTTTGTTTATGATCGGTTCAGCGATGATAGAACACGTGAATAAACGTAACGAATCACACCATGATGATGCACTTTTGACGCGGTATGATTGGTCCCATCAGCTCCTAGCGTCGGCTTCGCTCGATTCCGAAGATTTCGGGATAATGAGTGAGTTCGCATTAAAAAACCCTAGTAAAATACACTACGTTGTTTGCTTGGCCAAAAATGGGATATACATTTTCAAATTAATTTTAAACACGAGCGGAAATCGAAACCGAAACCGAAACTTCGGCTCCGTCCGGCAACATTGGCCTCGGGTCGCCAGGCAATCAGCTTCCGTTCGGAGGGAGCGGACGTGTTTTCGAGCTGCAGTCGACTTGCGAAGCTAAGTACTTTTTTTTTTCTTGGTATTTTGGTGTTTAAAGCGTACATGGTACAATAGAGGTAGATATAATTATCGGCAGGTACGGGATTTAGGTTAGTCTAAAGTCACTGGATCCTGGGAAAGTAGCGCCATTGCCTTCCCTACCTGCTAGCCGGACACAAACGGATACTAACATACAGACGACCCAAACCTAGCAAGGCGATTGGCTAATCGGTCTAATTAGAAAATTTATTTGCAACACTGTGGACATGATTTTGTAAGAGACGCGCAGAGGTTAAGAACACTGTGTACACATATATGCGCGAACCAGTGTCTGTACAGTGGGCGGGTCTTTGCCGCGGAGCCACACGCACAAGTTCGAAGGCGCACACCCCGAGGTGTCCCCGTCCGCGCGATCACTCACGCGGCCGAAGCGTCATCCCAGAGCCGCACACCCGCGCCCGCGCCCCCAACGGCACCGCTCTGAACTCAGGGACCTAGAGGTTGTCCAGGTACCTGAAGCGGAGTTCAATCCGCGAGTCGCGAACGCTCAGGTACCGGCAGGACCAGCGCCTGAGGAACTCTTGTTCTCCGAGGAAAAACAGTTGCTCCTCGAGGTGTCCCACGAGCTCCCGCCGGAGCCGCCACAGGAGGGGCCAAAGAGCACGCGATCGACGCGCCTGTCTCACCGCGCAGCACCGGTTCCTCCACAGCACGTACTCGGCCGCGGCGAGGAGGAGACGGACGAAGACGCCCGGAGGGCATCTCCCGCGCAGCAGGTAAAGTCCTACGCCCAAACCGCGGAAGCTGGTGCGGATGACGCGCCAGAACGTCCGCGCCACAACGCACTCCTTCACCGCGTGCACATTCGTTTCGCGATTCCCACAGTTAGGGCACTCGTCCGTGCGCGACACGCCCCAGCGGAGCAAGCGGTCTCCGCTGGGGAGGACGCCCCAACCGTGCTGCCATTCGAAGTCCCGTAGGTGCCCCGGGAGATACGAAGAAGTGAGGCGGGACCAGGAGAAAGAGTCTCCGAGCTCCACCTGCGTTGCCGAAATCTGCGGCTCAGGAGGACCTCTGTGAGACGAGCCGTCGGTGTCTCCACTACGTCCAGCTGGGGCGCCCGCTCTTTGAGACGTTTGAAGAGCTGTATTGCCCTTCGGTAGTCAGACGGCGGGGTTTCGGCACAGGGGCCGGGTGAGCTCGGCGACTCGACTCCCAGTTCTCGGCGGGAATGCCCCACGAAGTAGAGCGCGAGGGATCGGGCTGGGCCGTGCTCATCGCGCAATATCTTCAGCATGGTCTTGAGTTGGAGTACTGCGGGTGCGATGTCGATACAGGGAAAGCCCCACCCTCCACGCTCGCGCGGGAGGCAGACAACCGGCCGAGTGACCAGCTCCGTCTTCTCTGACCAGAAGAAGCTGTAGAGCGCGCTTTTCACCGGTCGGATGAAACGTGAGGTCGGGAGCGCCGTTTGCGCCAGATACCAGAGGCGTCCACAGAAGACAGAGTAGGCTAGGTACCTGCGCTCGGCCAGGGGAAGGGCGTAGGAGCGAGCAGAGTCCACTTTCTCCCCGATGTCGCGCGCCAGGCGCGTCCACATGTCCGCCGAGACTCCTGACGAGCGGTAGGTGACACCAAGGATCGTGACCGAAGTTTTTGCCGGGATCGGTGAAGAGGGGTCAGGCGGTCGGTTAACCCACAGCACCGCGCTCTTCTGCTCATTCAACCTCGCTCCGGAGAGAGACCCGTAGGTCTCGAAGATCCGGAGAGCCGCTCCGAGGTCGTCGGTGTCCCGCAGGTACAGTGTAATGTCGTCGGCGTATGCCGACACCTTCACCTCGCCGTTTCCGGGCAGGGAGAGTCCGCGGACCTGGGGGGTCCTTTCGACGTTGGCTAGGAAGGGCTCCAGGGTAAGGACGAAGAGCAGCGGCGAGAGCGGGCAACCCTGGCGGACCCCCCGGGTGACGGGGAAGCTGGCCGTCACACCGCCGTTTAGATAGAGGTCGCTTTTCATGTCACTGTAGAGCGTCTCGAAGAGTCGAACCCCTTCAGGGGGAATACCGAAAGCGGTGAGCACGGCCAGGAGGAACGGGTGCTCCACCCGGTCGAAAGCCTTCGCTTGGTCGAGGGAGGCGATCAGGCCTCTGGCTTGGCGAGCGTTCGTGTACTGCACCACGTCCCTCGTCAGGGATGTCAGGGTCTGAATGCTGCGGCCGACGATCGAGCACGTCTGGTGGGGTGTCACCACGTCCGGGAGCATGCCGTGGAGGCGCTGCGTGATGATCGACGCTAGCAGCTTGTAGCTTGCGTTGAGTAGCGTGATGGGACGCCACGCGCCCGGGTCGTTGGGGTCTCCTCCCTCCTTAGGCAGAAGAATGATTCTGCCTCGGCGGAACGACTCTGGAAGGCGGTGCTCCGTGAAAAATTCCCGGAGCACGGCACAGATACAGTTGCTCAGCACGTCCCAGAAGGTACGGTAGAATTCGGCGGGAAACCCATCTGGGCCCGGCGCGGACCCAGTTTTCATTCTTGACAGGGCAAGGAGCACCTCTTCGGGGTTGGGGGGCTCGTGCAGGTGTGCGGCTAGGTCTTCGGGAACTTGCGGGAGATCGCGTAGGAAGGGGTGCGCCACGAGGGTCGCACGGTCCACCGCCGATTCGGTGGTTGCCAGGGCCCGGAAGTGGGCGCTGAAACCGGAGACCGACGGTTGACCTGGTGTTGCTGGCGCGCCTGGGGTTGTCGGCACTGAAGGGACGCGTCGCTCCCGCACTTCGGTGCGGTGTGCGTAGCGCAGCACCTCGGGGTGAGCCGAGGGCCCGACCCGTCCGTGGTAGGCTGTGGCTGCGTTGGTACAAAGTCGTAGCTGTCGCTGGTAACGGTCGAGGAGCTGCTGCAGGTAGCCCCGCATTAGCGGAGTCCCCGCGCCGCCCCGTCGCACGATCCGAATTCGCAGAGAGGTGTCTCGGAGCTGCTCGGCGTGCCGCCGACGCAGTGCACGACCCTCCGCCACGCACGCCACCCGCCAGCTGTCTTGAAGCCGGTCAAAGGTCAAGGGGTCTGGTGCCGCTCCATGGAGGGACCGGCGCAAGGCTTCTCTCAGGCAGTCGCGGCTTGTTTTGTCTCGCAGCAGTCGGGTATCGAGACGCCAGGTGCGTTGAGTACTGGCTTTGCTGCTGAAGCGGAGCTCTACGAGTACCGGACGGTGGTCGGAAATGTACGTAGTGGAGGGAGGGAAGTTCATTGCGCAGCAGGCGGTGACAGAGGGGCTCAGAAACTCGGAGATGTAACACCTGTCCAGGCGACTGCTCGAGTTTCCTCGTTGCCAGGTATGCTCGAAAGCGGTGCCATGGAGCAGAGTCCAGCAGTCCACTAGGTCGAAGTGTCGCATCAGGCGTATCAGCTCGCCGGCGTTCCACGTGGTGCGTCCGTAGCCTGGGCCCCTGACATCGCGCCGGGAATCGACGACGCAGTTGAAGTCGCCGAGGAGCAGGCAGTGGCGAGCGTCGAGCAGATGGACGTCCAGGCTCTTGAAAAAGGCCGGGGATTGCGAACGCTGGGCTGGAGCGTACACGCCCACAGCACGAAAGCGCGTGCCGTCCACGAAGAAATCAAAAGCGATGTACCGCCCGTCGGGGTCAAAGCAGCACGCGCTGAGACGGAGGAGCGAGCGGTTAAAGATAATGACCCCCACCCCCGAGCTCCGTGTAGTGGCGTATGAAAAGAAACAATCCACCCCATACCGCTGCTTGAAGAGGTCCACGTCGCGCTGCCTGTGGAAGTTCGTTTCTTGCAGGAACAGGAGGTCGCAACGGGCGGTTCGGGCGAACTGGATGACCTCGATCTGTTTTGTCACGCTGCGGAAGCCCTGAACGTTCAGGGTGATGACTCGCAGGTGCGCGAAAAGGGGATGGAGGGGGGGGGGGTCGTTGTATTCACTGCTAGTCCGTGGATGTATCGGATGTGATGCACGAGCTGTCAGACAGCGCGACGAGGTCCTTCCGTAACCGCTTGGGAGCCGCTGCCGATGCTGGAGTGGATCCTGGGGACCCTGATTCGCCGCTGCTGGAAAGATCTCGCTTCCCGTCTTCGGCACCGCCATGCGGGCTGCGACTGCGGCTGCAGGTTTTTCGGAGTTCCTCGGAGGTGCCGCGGCGACGATCTCGGCCGCGCGGCAGAGCGCTGTCTTTGTCGTGGGCAACCTCGTCGATGACGAGGCGGTCGTCCGACGATGAGGCAGAGTCCTCCGTAATGTCGCTCCAGCTGGGAAGCGGGCTGGGGCAGAGTTCCGGCGTTCGCGGGCGTTCCTCCTTCACCAGTACTTCCTCTGAGCCGGGACTGGTAGGAGTGGGCGCGTGCACAGATGCGGTGTGGACCGCATTCGAAAGCGCGGCCTCGGCGGCGTCCTGTGACGCGTTCGAATTCGCGTCGGTGGCGCTTGCCGGCTTCGACTGTTGCGATGTCGGGGCGAGCTCGGACGGGGTCGTCACTGGGGGCTCGGCGGGGGCAGGCGTGTCACCGGACCCTTGGGTGGCGGCCGTCGCCGCAGGAGGGGGAGTAGGGGTGG